TAACACATTGCGTGTGATTGGTTAACGCGTGTGCCACGTGACGCGAATAGGCGAGAGGACAGTGGACGGTGAAAGCGAATCTTGGACCGAGCGACAATGGGGCGGCTGCAGAGCCTCAGCAACGTTCCTTAGTCCCCAAGACTGTCTCTACCAAAAGTGCAAAAGAGTTCCAGATTACCGCGTTACAGATGGGGCGGATGCACGCAGGCCGGCTAATCAACGCCCCTTTTGAAAACAAGAAAAAAATGAAATGGAATGAAATTCTTACCAATAGACTTACGGCTAGACTTACACTAACCACGCTGACATTTTCAGATCTTATTCTGAACGTAGGAATACAATGCAGCCTGCACCGCTCGGCCCGGCCCATGCAGCCTCCGTTACGTATGGCATGACGTTTCGGCTTGGCCGGGGGGTTCCTTCCTAGTTCTGCCACGAAGCCGTCGCGACTGCAGCTGCGCGAAGCCTCACATGGGCTCTTTGGCGGCACGCCGACCCACGGCACGCCAGGGCACGGCGGTCTGGCTCTTGTCTTAATATGCCACTTACTCCGGATTGCCCCCCCCCCCCCCGGGTCGATAGACTAGGTGGAGCGGGGCGGGCCGGTGAACTGGACTTGACTTTCGACGCCCGCCCTGGTAATCTCGCCCGCATGAGAAGTAATACCCGTCGAAAGCACAGTGTCGGCGCGAGTAGCTTTGCTGCTGCTGAGGTATGAGGATCATAGCATCTCTTCTCATGTAAGCCCTCATCGACAGCATATGATTCACACTATTAAACTACTCCGTAATCTCCCCCTATCGTACCCCCCCCCCCCCCCCCCCCCCCCCCCCCCCCCCGCGCACACACACACACACCGATGCGCAACGAGAGCACCGGTGCATGCATCCGAACGACAACAGCATCTTACAGCGGGGGCCGAGCAGGGCGGGACCAGTCTGACTTTCTCCGGCCAGGCGTGGCGGCCGGGGCAGGCAGGCGCGGACGGGCGGGCGGACGGACGGACATTGGCCAGGACGGCCTCGCCGACCTATGTCGTAATAATTACACGTAGGCGTCACGTCACATTTGTGGACGGCGGCGTCAAGGGCCGCGTGAGGGACTCAAAGAGTTCCTGTCTGATTTGGGGGCACACCATCCGCATCCACACCGCGATCACATCTTGTCTTTGTTTTACGCCCTGCGGGAGGTACGCTCTCGGAGTCACTGCCGTCACCCGCCGTCACCCGCCGTCACCGCCATCAGCGCCGTCACATCACACGGCGCGCGACGCCTCATAATGGGCACACGTCCGCACTATTACAGTTTCTTTTTTTTTCGATACGGGGAAAAAGGAAGCAAAGAGTGAAAGGAAGAGGGAGAGAGAGTCAGATGTTCAAGAGAGCGGTTGTGTGTCTCGGCTGGAGACTTGCACGCCCGAGGGCGGAGCAAGATGGTGATGCAGAAAGGGGCATATGGGCCACGCCGCGGGCGGCGTGATGAGACGGGCTGAATTTTCCAATTTTTCTCAAACAGCTCCTGAGTACCCCCCTCCCTTTTTTCCTTTCCCCTTTCTTCGCCCTTTTCCATCGGCACAGCGCTATCGGATCGGCTCCGCTCGAG